ACAACCCTACTTAACTTATGCCTAAAGCCATCTGCATAAGTATCTTCTCCTCAGTAGTGGTGCCCTTGGGTAAAAATGTCCAATTTTCAGAATCTGCAGTCAGAAAATTACAGGTATAATCTTTCCCACTGATACCCATTAACATCCATAGGAGTCCCCTGTAGCATTTGTTTGAACAATTATGCCTCACTCACCCCTTGTAAGCAATGCTGGCTCATAAGGCTGCATCACCAAATCAGAGTCAAATGATGTTCCATCCCAGTCTGCCTTCTGGCCCTGGGTCTAGTATGAGGAAGGCTTAAGAAGTAATGAAAGCTTAGCTCACTCCACACTATTAGGTCACATTTACATATCTGACTTCTGGAAATTATTCACTGACCCCTGGAGAGCTCAAGGAAGCTGTAGGGCTGGAGTCACAATTCAAAGGGAAAATTTCACATAACAATTATCCTGAATCATAAAACTACAACACAGTACCAGGGGAGACTAAAACTCTTAGCACACAGAAAATGTAAGATCAGTCACCACCATTTTGTTACCTCTGTTTACAGTCAGCACCTTCCTTACAGCATTTCCCTCCTTCTATTGGGAATGCACTGACACAGAAATCACAGTGCTTCTCAAGGTTCCATTTGGGAACCTTATGGTGTGGAAAAAAAAATCCAGATGTTTACACTATTATTGTCATCCGTTGCTGAGGTCAAAACTAAAAGAGGAAACGGAGACAGAAGAAAGTGACGGAGGAAACGTTCACATTGATTTTATCTGCTTTTCCAACTGTAAATGTTTTTACAAGCAAATCTGTCACACTGTGGGAGTGGGAGATGGTCTGAAAGAAGCCATCAAAGTGAATTGTGTATGGAGAAAAGCAGACAAAAGACCCATTCAAAGAGATTGAGGAACAGAAGAGGAGCCAAGAGACACAGTTTGGGATGGAACAAGGACGTACAAACTTTTGATGCTTATCTAAAACTCCAAAGCTGTTGAGGTTCACTCTCTTCTATTGTGAGCCAGAGAAGTGGCATTGCTATGTAATTCTAGCATGTGACTTGGAGTCAGGCTTCAAATCTCACCTTTGTCTTGATGGGTGTGTCTATAGTGCACGCTATGTCCAGGCTCTGACTCAGGTCTGAGCCCAAGCCTGTGCTTCCGTCCACACACAAATCAATCCGACTCAGGTCAGCAAGCACTCAGGACCTGGGTCCTAGAACCCCGCTAGGAGGGTGGATCACAGCTTGAGTCCTGCTATAACTCGGGTCCAAGTCCTGTCATTTTGCAGTCTGGATGCAGATCAAGCTGCAGACCCATATCAGAAGGTCTTCGTAGTGCAGTATGGCCGTGATAGCCTGTCTGTGACACCCAAGTCCAGCAATTGTAAGCCCAGGTTTACCATGCAATGTGGACATATCCTGGGTGTCTTTGTGCAGGGCATTCTAATCTCTGTTTACTTCATTTTCTCCATCTGTAAAATGGGGCTAATAATTATTTCTAAATTGCTTCACGATCCTCAGCTGAAAGGTGCTATGTTAGTTCAACACATTATTATATGCTTCATAATAAGGAACAATAATGGGAATGCAACCCTGACATCCCAGCTGTACTTCATGTTATGCTGATAGAATATTATCATTTAAAAGGTCAGCACTCTAATCCATGATCGCTATGGTTGCAATGTGCACTCTTCACAAGCTCTTTTGGCAAGCACATTTCTCATGGCAGGGGCTTTTTATTTGTACCCTTTGTGCTATTTAAAGATCCATGTTTTGCTCCCGAGGTATCTTTATTCCTAGAGAAGAAAAAAAGTGAACAAAGGAATAAAGGTCACAGCACATTTCAGACAATGGCTTAGTACATCTCACTCTCGTGCCCATCTGCACTGTCAATCCACACAGGATACATGTAGCAGCTGGATAATAATTAGGCATTATGGCTTGGAGGGCAACTTGTAAGTCTGATGGATAGTTCATGGCACTGATTTTCTTCCTTGCTGACACTAACAAAACACGACAGGGAAATAATCAAATGAAGTCAAGAATAAAATCAACGCAACAAGCTGCCGGCAGAGGAGACTCTTCAGCCCTGGACTCCCCTTCAATTACTGAAACACAGAGGTGTCTCCCAAGTACTCAAGGTTGGGTCCCCATCCTGTGAGGAGCTGCGCATTCTCAACTCGCCAAGGCAGTTGAGGGTATTCAGCACCTTCCAGGAGGTGCTCAGCACTGGTAAGGATGGGGCCTTTCCTGGGGAGCACATAACTCTCTCGCTCTCCCCACCACATGCATCTGTGCTTTAGCAGTGCACTCACACCCAGTTCTAGTCATTAGCTTTTTTCAGTTACCTTTAAGTGAACAAATTAAAGGGACATCATCAGAACAGAAATTACAGTGTAAATCAGGGCAAATTCTAGACCTAGAAATGTAACAGCAAAAGCTTTATCTGTGATACCAGTAACAGAAAGATGAAAGAATTTTAAAAATTCTAATTTGTTTTCTTCACTGTTATTGTTTCCTTCCTGCACCTCCCCCACTTACACTTCATTTAACTTGGACAGTAAAACTAAGTGGATCAATTTCATTTCCCAGTCATAATCGGTTTCACTTTTAGGTTTTTCAGCAGCCCTAAGGCAATTCTGATACTCTTTTGAGTTGCAAATGATGTGTGCGAATGTTTAAGTGAAACAGAAATGTTCTAAGCAGATTAGGTCTTAGTATACTACATTAGATAATATTTACAACTTACACAGTTCTTCAGAGATATCCAAATTGCTGTATGTTAGCCAATTTGTATAAAACACTGTTTAAAAATCCAAAATCTGAATTGTGGTAATGTCCCTTTAAATATAATGACAGATGTCCTTAATGGTCGACAGAAAAATGTTACACTAAAAATGTGATGAAAGAAAGAAATACTGAAATACTCTGTACGGGTGTATGAATGAATGAGAAATATTGATCTCCAGTGTCTGCCTCAGAGACAAGGTAAGAGTTCTGCTACTACTACTAGCTGAAGGAGATCTCAAGTGGCAGAGGGCCGTGTTTTTTGGCACTAAGGCTGAGGCTCTGGGCTCAATTCCCCACATGGGTGGGTGTGCAGTTTATACAGAAATTGTCTGTCTGCAGCACATGCATTCACTGCAAGATGATTTTCAATTTTTGCTATTCAGCTAGGTTCATTAATCAAACTGACCCAAAGGTACAATATCTGTTCAAGACTTCTGAAATCTAAATCCCTTAGCTTATGAAAATCTTAACCTCTTTTACTTTTCTTACAATTAGACAGTGATCATGTTCATTTTGTTTCACCCATTCCTTCTTTTAAAGTAGAGGAGCCTCCCACTGCTTGAGGATACCCTCTTACTCCTTTGGCTCCTAGACAAATGGACAATAGTTGGGAGCCCTGAAGGGATACTTTAATACAAGAGGAAAATCCAAATCTGTGTAATTGGTGATGACCTACTGGACAATTCAAGTTCAATAAGACAAGAGCTCATGGGATGGCAAAGAGAGATGGACACCCCTAAAAATATGTATCATCTCAAAAGGATGTGAGAGGATGAGATGAGGGTGGATTTTTTTTTATACATATACAAAGCCAATTGCTGAAGTGCATGCCAGATTATGTGCTTAAATTAAAGAGCCAAGATTTTTCTACCACTCATTGTCTGGACAGATGTTGATAACAAATGTATCAATCAAAAGCAAACAACAAATATTGCTAAAGAAACATTGGCATCTACAGCTATTGCAGTGGCTGACTCTGAGCTGGCTTCTTTGAGACTGCTGTGCCCCTGGAAGCCAAGTGAGTTTGATTAAATATGCTGGAGAAAATCCTACCTATACGTTCTGATGAGGAAAGAAGCCTGCCTTAAATACCACTGCAGTTGTGTTTAAGCTGGGTCTGTCCCAGGATATTAGAGAGACTCTTCTTCAGGTTCATATAAACTCAGAAGCTTGTCTCCCTGACTAACAGAAGTTGGTCCAGTGAAAGATATTACCTCACCCACCTTTTCTCGTTAAATGTCGTTGGTAGGTAGCTCTCCATATGTATTTAAAAACAAGGGCATTATGCCAGTGCAGTTTTGTTATGTGTTTAATGTTAGATAAACTCCACCTCCAATCAGCTGGGAGCTCTTCCCTGATGTCCTTCCTCTTTTATCTGCAGACAATGGGGCAGATTCACTCCAGCTGGCAAAGGGATGTGAAATGTCCTCCTGACAGACACAGGGGCTGTTGCACTGGATTGGAATCCTATTTCAGGGGGTGGGTGGCAGCTTTAAATTCTGACCAGAGCACCACATGGCAGGAGCCCACTGGTTGGGGTTGCCTGGAGATGCACTGAAGTATCTTTGCCAATATGCCTTCATCCTGACCTGTATCAGTTCCTTTCCAATTGTAGGGTCACCCCCACAGCTCTGTCAAAATCCCTCTATCCCGACCTGCTTTACTCCTAGTTATTTCGGAGAGCCCCCTTCTCACAACTCTGCCAGGGCACCTCAGTACTGCTCACCAGCATCTCTTGTTTATCCCAGTCTTGGGCCACTCCAGTCATATAGAACTGAGCGTACTATCATACTGGTTGCCAGAGTATTATCTAAACAGGCTGTTATCCTCCCTTTTTTGCTTCTTGCACCTTTATGGCAAGCCCTCGAAAATGCAGATACTCCAACAAGCTTACTGCAGAGATTCCTCTATGTTCCTGGCTCACCTGGACTTGTTCAGTGTTAGCTTATTCCCCTACCTCCATTGCAAAGACATTCTAGGATGTCTTTGGACACTTGTTAAAGCAGACACTTAGTTCACATGAATCCTCAATGATTTGGTTTCTCTCTGGTTCTTCTGTCGAGCTCGAATTCTCCAGGCATTGTGCAAGCACTGGGGTCAGTGTACATGGGGAGGAACCTTCTTTAAGTGAGGAAAACAAGACCAAGCAAACCAAGAAGCATTTGCTGACTGCAATTTTATATTGAGATTTTAAAAGTAAATATTTCCTGTTACTAACAATCAAAATATAACAGATTGGACAAAATGGCAGAGTAGGTTTAGAAAGATGTAGCTATGGACAGGTATCTCTGTGTGAAGTAGATACCTGGGGTGTCTATTTTCTAGCCTCACTGGTTCTTCTGCTGTCTTTTGCTTGTGCTATTTGAGGTTTTTGGTTTTTCTTCTGCTTCTGCTGCTGCTGCATTGAAAAGATGCACTTTATGGCTGTCAAAGTCTTTAATCTAGTAAGGAAAATACAGAGAGGGTAAAGGGGGTTGAGTTGTCTTGTAGTTTGAGGGAAGGTATCTATAAATCAGATCCTAAATATTTCATATGGGAAAAATAAAGCCCTGTTAGGAAAAGCACAGTTCAGCAATATAAAGATATGATACCTATTAAAACAGCCTCCTCAGAAATGGGCTAACTCATTTAAATGCCCAAGACAATCCTAATTATGTCTTATTTGACCTGACCCCACACTCCTACTCCACCCATTGGGGCTCTGATTAGAAAACAGGAGAGGACTAGATTAGTCTTAACTGTGGGGGTTGTAGCAAAGTGCAACAAACCAAACCAAAGCGGCAACATAAGGTTGAATTTAGCTCTCTGTTACACCAAAGAAACTCCTGTCAAATCAATTAGTCCCAACTGAGGAGAAGGACATTAGCGTGAACTAGGGATATGTATATTTGAGCCCACAGCATCCACATGGGGGAGTTACAGTACAGCATTTTGGTGCATGCTGCTATTCACACCTTCACAGTCCAAACTGCAGGGCAGTGTAGACATGCCCTTAGAGCAGAATTCAGCCTCTATCTAAGGTCTCATTTTACGCTTTGATAGGTTCTTTGGGCTACATTCTGTCCTTTTTATGTATATTCATGGGCAGATTCCCATTGTGTCCAGTGGGAGATTCACAGGCATATGTCAGAGTGGAATCTGACCCACAGAAATTTAGAGTTGGGAGTGGCCTACTGTGTGATAATATTCACCTGTCCATCCAGAACCATTTTCTGGAGTGTACAGTCAATTGCTTTGTCTAGGCTAGTTCTAAACAACTTGAGGGATGGAGTTTCTATCCCAGGCATATTATCCTACAGCCTGAGACCTCACTGTGAAGATACTTTTACTAATAATCACCCTACATGTTATTTTTTCAGTTTCCTCCCACTGCTCCTCGTTAAATCCTATGGGCCACTCTAAACAATTTCTCGCCCTTACCAAGGATTATGATGATTGCAAAAAGTTCTACATATTTAGGGTGCCTAAAAGTTTAGACAGCACTCCTCTAAAACTTGAACTCTACAGATGAGGGGGATGTTTCTCTAGACACATCACTTAACTTATTAAGGGCTTCAGAGGCACAAAATCAGATTCCCTTCTCCCCCTTATTGTGGAAGTACTAAAAAACTGTGTCATTAATTTAAAAAGAATTAATTTGCAAGTGGCTTTCCACAAGACAGTGCTATTTTATTCCTTTTAGAAAAGCATGTTTTTAAATTCCCTGGGAGTGAATGTCCAGTCTGTTGGTCAGTCCTATTTTAATACTGACTACAGTAACTTGACTGATGTAATCAGTACTGACTCATCAGAACAAGAAAATCTAAGAGTCCAACATCTAAGAGGTGATGTCCTGGTCAGCTGAAGTACAGGACCAAGGGGTCTCCTCCACTTCTGCGCAGGCTCTCCTCACCCACCCATAGCTCGGTAAATGCATCTCAGCATCATGGCACATAGCCCCACATATCCCCTGTTGCAATCTTCAGAACTCTACACCGGTCTGCCAGTGTGCCTCACACCTGACCTGTTTTACCCCTTGTTAACTCCACTGCTGGGCTTCTCCTAAGCAGAACATATCATTTATGCTAAATGCTGAGGCAGCTGAGTGATGGACAGGTATGGAAATTATGTTGAGACTGCAAATAAAACAAATTTTGGGTTGACTTGAATTTGGGCAATCATAGTTATGGAAGCCACTGATGGAAAATTAATTTGGAACACCAAGATAGCTTGTCAGAGTATTCAGCACCTTTGAAATAGTGGGAAAAACTTCATCAGCCATAACTGATCCCCACATCCACCCTGTCATCAGTACCAGCTATCACAATTCTAGGGTGCACATCATCATAGTATCTGAGATAATTCACTGGCCTAATGCACGAGATAATGTCTCACTCCACTGGTTAGTTCTAGTGATTATGGAACCTCCTACTATTTCACAACTAGAAGGGTTCTCCTTTAGGTAACATGGTTGAAGCCCATGTTTAGGTGCTGAAAGTACCATGAAATCAATGAACCCAGTTCTTCATGCAACGCAACCCCATTGACTTCAATGAGAGCAAGTGAGGGCATAACTGAGCCCAGTGGCAGAATACAGCTTTGTCCTTCCAAAACTCTCATATGTATATGATGCCTCTCACAAGCTAAAGTCAGCAGCTACCAAGAGGTATCACACGGTGGCATGAGATCCAAATGGAATCAGTGGGTGAAGGGTGAGGCAGAGGAGAGACCCCCATCTAGTCCCTCCTCAGTCCAAACAAGGAGTGTTTAAAAGTTCCTCTTCACTAACATAGGGGTGCAGGCACAAAAACAAATGACATGTTTTCCTGAGGATCTCTGTGCATCACCACATTCCCTACAGCACTTTTAAGGAAAGGTCAGATTACACAGAGTCACCTTTTCCATTAAACTCGCCACTCCCGCTGCAGCAAGTTGTGTCCTGAGTGGAGGGAGAGAAATGGCATCCTAAGCTAAAAAGACACCAATCCTTTCCTTAGCTTCTCTCTGCACCAATTTTAAAAAAAGATGTCGTTTACAATCAGGGTTAGAGAGGAGCTAGCAGAAAGCCCAGGAGGCCTGCAAAATAAGTCACTCCCATGCCTCTTCTTTCTCTAAAGACCAAACCCTTGATTTAAAAAAAGTTTTTAACCGAGGGCAGCTAATAGGGAACACCTGCAGATGTTTCAGCTAATTCCTGGCTTTTTCAGGGGCAGCCTTCCCTGGGACAGCCTTCCCTGGACTTACATCTTTAGCTTTGAGCGGGGAGTATCTTTCCCCTTGGACACTAAAGAAGGCTCTTCACTAGTTGTCTCCACTGAATCTTGTTGGCTATTCAATTTGTCCTGGTCAGGGTCCTCCACAGGGATAGAACTGCAAAGACAAAAAGAATTGCATTCGGTAATGCCGATTAGCATTTCAAGAGCATCTGTTCAGCATTGCCAGTGGAGAGCCAGAACCACACGTCCAGACCTGAACACAGGAAGTCTAGGGCAAAGCCAGGAGCAGAATCCAGAGTCTGCTGCCTTGACCACAAGATCATCATCTTACATCCTGAAGAATGAGTTTTTATAACTGTTATTACCTAAGCCTAAACAGCCACTAAATATTGGATCTAAAATTATCTAGCCCTTTTCTGAATTCCATCAATAGCCAAATGGAGAAGGGCAACATGGTCTGGTAGACAGAACACTGGACTGGGAATCAGGAGAGCTGAATTTTATTCCCAGCTCTACCACTGACTAGCTGTGTGATCTCGGGCAAGTCACGTCACCTCTCTCTGACCCTGTTTCCCATCCTACCCTTTGTCTGTCTTGTGTATTTGGACTGTAAGCAATTTGGGACAGGGATTATGTCTTACTCTGTGTTTGTACTGCACTTACCACAATGGGACCTTGATCTCAGTTGGGGCCTGCAGATGCTACTGTCATATAAATGGTAGCAGTAAAATTCAGAGTTAGTGTGTCCACGTACACACCATTTACTCCAGCATTGTTCTTGTTGCACCCAGTTACACCAGTTCTGAATCTTGCCCACTCTCTATCTGGTTTCTATAAAAGTGAGGGAGATTAAATCTCTGCCAATTTGTTAAACAAAACTGGGCTTCACCATGGAAAATGGCAAAAATTTGCTGCGTGGAATCGAAAGGGAAAAAAGAAAGCTTTCGCCCAAGTTGATATGTTGCCTTGTTCCCAGTGAAGCAACATATTCACGGGTGGAAATGATCCAAAGTTTGTCCTGAATGCTCACAGAGCTGTAGGTGGAATCATGTCCCAGAATAAGCGAATGGTCTTTAAATGCGACATTATTTAAAATGAAAACAAACACACTGTTCCTTATAACCGCTCCTTGCAAGCTGGAACTAAAACCTTACCACCCATTTCAAATTCCCCCTAGACGCTCACAGTGGCTTGTGTGGGAGACACCATCGTTCTGTGGTGCCTGAAGATTTGGGTCCTATTCCCAGCTGTGTCACTATCTCACCGTATTAGCAAAGGTAAACCTCTCTGAACACCTGAAAAATGGAGACAATTATGTTTATTCGTCCTTGTAAATCACTTTCAGATCTGTGCTGATAAGGAGGGCTGCTTATAAGTGCTAGACTTTAGTTCATTTTTGCAGTGTGACTCATGAGAACTAAGCCAGGGCCAGTAGTTTGTGGTCCTAGGGTTACTGTGGTGGTGTGATAGATTTTAGGACGGGGTAGCTGGCACTGTTTATAGAAAAGAGAGCATGGGGGGGGGGGGAATCACATGTAAGAATCAAAGAGAACAAAATGAGACAAAAGTCAAGTTTGGGGCTCATTAAGCTTAACAATTTCCCTTTAAAATGCATTTTTCCTAACTACTTCTTTATACCCTTGCTAGCCCCCAGATAAAGCACACAGCTTTACAAGAAACCGAATTTCCAGAGGGCTGCTAAAGGGTGAAGTGAATAGTGAAACTTCATTACACTAAATGGGGCTGATAGCTTTTGTGTAATGAAGTGATGAGCAGAGCCCATTATGAAATACACCTGTGATCGCATTCTCTTGTTAAGGGAGAATGCATACCTGCAATTCCCTTCTAATAGGTTCTTACTTTGCGTCGTTTATTTTTTCCTAGCTAAATTAATTCATAAGCCTGATTACTCACAATCCCAGCAGGTTCCTGATGTACAGTTTAGCACTAGTACTTGAAACAGACCATCTGGATCATAGGCATCAAATTTTGCCCAAGTAAAGACTGCACTGACAACTCCTCGTAGGCAGCACCCTGTATAAGCAATTAGGCTGGCTGCGTTACAGGACTTCATGGTTCTTAGCTGTGTTGTCCATGATCTGGACACTTGCTGTAGCTTACCCAAACCATTTGTAGCTAAACACAAACCATTAAAAAATTATATGCTATGGTAAATATGGACAGTCACAGACCCATGCACACGTGAACCCTCTTTATAGGGTGAAATCATCAGGAATTTTAAATGGGCACATAAGGGCCTAAAACAGTGGAAGTGATGTGTTTCTATTGGCTTGGGGAGGGAAGGGGAGCAAAGCAGCAGAGAACCTATCTGGGAAACAGTACACCCACTCTGCATGCTGGGAAAGTGATAGCCATGCTGTCTCCTTCCAGGGAAATGGAGCGGGGAGAAATGAATGAGAAATGGCCATGAATGAGAAATGGCCACGTGGTCCAAAGACAATATGGATCTACCTTATGGAGGGGACAGACGAGAACTGCACCCATGCCTATGTAGAGTATAATCTTCACAGGGCAGGACATTTAGTCATTTGCCTCTCTAAAGTATCACACACTCAGTATTAGACTCCCATAGCCTAACACCCAGCACTAGCCATCAGCGAGCTGGCTGGACACGTATACCAGGCCCTATGATCGACATTGGGATGGCGATCCGTCCCTTCAGCTCTGCTGTGCTTTAGCACATTTTCATGCTACTCCTTTAACTGGGGTTTGCTCACTTTTTCAGGACAGGGCTCACACAGAAGACTTACATGGCAGGCGGAGGTCTCATCCAGCTATAAGTAGATGTCTGCACACTATAATGCATTGAAATAAGTCAGGGCTTTCATTCTACTTTGCCACAAGTGGAGTTTCGCTATATCCAAGGTCACTGTGACCCATCTAGCTGAGGTTTTTCTAAGGCACCTTCCACTGTGGTATCATCTCAGCATGTATATAGACAGATTCTGGTGTATGGGGCAAGAGAGAGGGACTGCAGAGTTGCAACTGAAATTGATGAGGAACACATGTCAAAGGAGACTCTGTACCACATTTGGAGAGCTAGACGTTAGCAAAGTGCCCTCAGTATATAACATCATATCAATGGCCTCAGCTATGTAATACAATGGCAGTGCCAAGGGAGGCACATTCATTGAGAGGTGTCCCAATCAGCCTGCTTTATGAGATCCCTGGGAGGAAGATATTGAAAGTTTAGTCCCATTTTTCAGTGACCTGATATAGTTATCACATGCTGTTTTGCAGGATAGATTGTGGAAAATCACAGCTTGATGGAGGATCTCTGACATTAAGGGTGGAAATGCTTTGGGCTTTATTTTTCACTACTTGCCTCATTTTATCTTGGATTGTTCCTGATAAAACAAAATGAGATTTCTCGTTGAAGTATCCATAAAGGCACTTGCCGCTCAAGCAACAGAAATTGCTTCTATCCAAGGAGAGCCAGCCGTCCACAGGTGAGACCATGCCTTGGAGCTGCTGTCCTTTCCAATTAAGAGGTAACAGCTTCAATTTCCAGTGCTCCAGCTGCCGTGGCCTGTTATTTAGATACTGATGGTATCTTGGGCATAGTGTAATGAGATGCTTAGCCATGGCGATTCCTGTCAACATGGGCACGGTTAAACTGAGTCCCAGGTTGGGGAAAATGTATTCACATAGGCTTTAGGGTTTTGCTGTTGTCTTCCTGTGCAACATGGGTGTAGGTGGGTATACGTCATGGATACCACCATAGAATAAAACCTTTAATTTCCCAGAAGAGCAATATTTTGTATTGCAACTGGCAGGTTTTTCATTATTCTTGTCAGAATTTTTATTAACATTAGTACTGGGTCTTTCCAGCTAACTGCACCGACTGTGTCAATGATCATATTGTGTGCGAGGGTGACTGTACCTCAGGAGACTTATGGGGATACTGCAAAAAGGAGGTTGATGGATCAGCAAGTCTGATACACATTTTAAATGGTCAGCTGTAACCCTGCTTTCAGAGCAGTGGGCAGAGGCTGCCCATTTGGCTCAGACAGGCACATTCTATATGACCTGTTTATTACCAATGCCAGAGTGTGGGGAGCAATTAGCAGTCTTTTACATCTTCTTTTTCTGTTCCTTCTAACAGTGTCCACATTATTCAGAAGTTGGAGGCACTGTGATTGAGAGGCGAAGACAAAGGACTGGGAGACAGGAGATCTAGGCTTTGTTCACAGATTTGCCCCTGACTGGGCTTGGGAAAGTCACTTGGTAATAGAACTGGTTGGAACTATTGGAGGAGGTTGGAGCAGAACTGTTTCAGTTCTGCTGAAAATTTTGACTTTTTGGCCAAAAATCAAAAACCAAAATCTTTCAGATGGAAAATGAAATATTCAGTGTGGAAATGCAGGGGCTGTGCCTCATGAGAGTTACAGTTTGGGTGTCCCACGCTCCCATTCTCCTCTATAGGCCAGGCTCCTTGATCTGACTACATTTCTCATGATGAATCACACCCTTTGCTCGAGGGAAGGCAGTACATCAGGTAAGGCCCATGGCCACAGTGCATCACAGAAGATGAAGTTTAGCTGAAGAGCCCAGCCCAGGGGGGAGAATGGGGACATGTTGCAACTAAACTCCATTCAGTTTTCAGCCAAAAACAACACACTTTTCAGTTTTGGGGTACCTGTTTGATGAAAAAAATCAAACATTTTCAGAGAAAGGTGACACTTCACCAAAAGGTTCATTCTGTCAAAAAACAAATTTTCCATCGAAAAACAGTTTTGACAGAACATTTTTGGCCAACCGTACTAAATCTCTTTACACTGCAGTTTCCCTGAAGAATGGAGATGACACTTTCTTAGTGGAGTAAAGTGCTTTGAAAGCCATGAATGAAAAGCATCCTATAAAGTGTTATAAAGCTGAGGAAATCCTTCATGCCAGCATGGACTCTTGCCATCTGGTATTTGCCTGAGCAAGAAATTGCTCTGTGGTTGCATACTATGGGAGAGGATTTCCTGTGGTTTTAAGCACAAGATCAGTCAGAACTCAAGTTCTCTAAAGACCTGGATTCAGTTTTCAGTGGGCTGTGCTTTTCAGGGAATATTCCCACAAAATTAATGCTTGAAGTAACATCATTCTCAGGATTCTCCTGTATGGTGCTTTGAAAGTTTCCTCCAG